TGATTAAATAGGAGATGTGAAGTGAAGCATGTTATATCTTGGTAATGAAAGATTGTTGTGACTATTTGGCTTGTCTCTCCCCTCTATGGTCCCCAGGCATCCAAGAGCACCCAGGACACAGGAGAGTCTCACATTTGAGGAGCTAAACAGTGACGTGAGAGCAAATTCTGATTTATTTCCTGAAGACTGTCATCTCAGACATACGGTCAACTTACTGCCCTGCGAATGTAACCAATGCACCAGTTTACTTTACTGAAAACTGTTATTTTATTATTTTTGTTTTTGAGTTGGTAGATATATAAGACTGGAGTAAAAATAGAACTGTTATGAAATTTAAGCAAACTTTTAAGTTGAACCAAGATTAGTGTGCTTTACTTTCATGCCAACATTTATTTTATTCGAGTATTTATCAAATGGTAAATAATGTCACTCGTTTTGGAAAAATAAATGTCCAAATGTTTAGATTTTTTCATATGTGGAAAAAAATTATAAATAATATTATGAAGACCTGTTTTATCAGGTAGATCGAATATGGCTTGTTGTGTCATTCAGGTACTATAATCAACCAGTAAAGACAATCAATATTTCTGAGGCAAGTACTTTTTTCTGTATAACTTGTCCACCATATTTAAATTGATATTTTCTAAATATGACCAACAACAAGGGGGACAATTATGAGACAGAAACAGATTTTAAATGTATATATTTATATGCACGTGTGTGTATATATATTATTTATATATATATATTGCCGGGCAATGTAGTATTATTACAGTAAGTGACTGCATTCCTGCTACATGTTATATGTATTATATCTCATATTTGCAAAGAGTTTTTTATTTACCAAGTTCAGATAATAGACATTTCAAAATTTTTAATGTTCAAGATAACTTTTGTTATTATTGTCACTGCTTTAAGCATGTTTGGATTTTTTGAATGGTGTTTGGTCAAATAGTTATCTTTTATTCTGTATTTCCAATTTACATATTATGTCTTTTACGGTGTGAATTATTTAAATGTATCTGTGTTTGTAGACTTTTCATGCCCCTTGGAAGCTTTAAATTAAATAAAATTCTGATGTTCCTCATGCTTGAGGGCACCGTTTGAAGGTCTTTTCGACCACTGGCTTTGAATTATTTGGTTCAAAATAAATAAATTAGTGTTGCAGGACACATGCATCTTTTTCTGTTAAGTTCCTTATGTCAATAATCTGCCAAACTCATGCATAGATATTTTCTGTCTTCATGTCTGACACTGCTATAAAGCTCTTAGCTAACTGTTGCAACTCATCTGGCTGGTTGACTCAATACAGAGGAAATACAGAAAAATTGGTACTTGGTATTTTGTAAAATTGGTTAATGGTATTTTAATGAGCAAACAAACCTTTTATAGTAGTACTGTAAACATGTTAACATTGAAATAGCAGTGCTGATCAAACCGTCCCTCTTTGAACATTCGCAACATTCAACAATAGTTGAGTCACTCCTGATGAATCTTTTGGTTAATTCTCACCTCCTGAGAATTATATTTTAAACAGGAGTGTATATATATATATGTTTATCTGTCAGGGTGATGTTCAGTGTGGGAGCAGAGTATATTGTTCTTCCTAACAGGATACAGTATAGTATACCAGAAACCCTTGAGGCACGTAATCATCATCATGCTCTTCCTCTTTCGTCTGTCTCTGTGCTTATGTTTATGTGGTGGGTGATAATCATCATGGTACAAGTTGTATAACAGATTCAAATCCCTTTTGTTGAACTATTCATCTAGCCCTGGATCAATACTACAAAATTAATGTTATTGCTGAAATCCCCTCTGGTTCAAAGGATCAGCAGAGGAGAGGAATAGATGAGGTGGTAGGGTGGAAAATGCAGGTCCTGCATGTAGAGATAAAATTGCTGCCTAGCCTCTGGAGAGAGAGACAGTCAGATAGTCAGACCAGGGAGGAAAAGAAACTGTCGGGGGGGGGGGGGGGGTCAAACGATTGTGAACCATAGTCATATCTGAATGTGGAAAATCAGGCAGCTCTCCTGACATCTAATTTATTCTGACCGATCGCAAACAATCCAGTGTTCATCCATACTCATCTGAAGGTAAGTTAAATTTGTTATTCATAACCTTTTAATGGTAAATCACTTAATAGATAACATACTTAGCACATTCTTCTCTGGTAGCAAATTCGTGCAAGTGACTTGGATAATGAAGGGGGTTATTATGCTGAGTTGTTGAGAAATCTTTTGTTCTGCTTAAAGACCACAGTATTCAGTAATAGAAACACTGAACAAGAGATTTGGAGTAAGTTGATATTTGGGAAAAGATACAGTAGCCAGCGTCTGAAGCCTTTCCATGAAAAATTATATCATGGTTGACAAATATCATTTGTTACTGATAACATCTTCCCAATCCTGAATATAACCCCTGGATTCCTTTTAATAATGCAATTCCTCTTTTATTTCCTCCCACTCTCCAGGCAAATTGCCTCTCTCTGTGAAGGTATACGTGCTATTGATGAAGAAAAGGGGAGGTAACAGAAAGAAATGCATAAACAAAATAATTTGTAAAAAATAATAATTATATGATTAAACAAATGGACTACTTGATTGTGTGCATTATCGGTGTGGACACAAGGAGAAGCTGTGAAGTTCATACATTTTAAACCGACCAAATAAAAGCAGCAGAAATGCGCAAGTTCCCTACATTTCCACAGCAGTAAAGTTTGTTAAAATCTGATCATTCTCTACTTAGGGCATCCACTTGGTAAAGGAGTATTTTCTGGATTTAAAAATGCCTGGTACATTTGTCATGTGTCTCCCTACAAATCTTTGTCTACTATAATTAAGACAAAAACACCTTACAACATCCTTAAAATAAACAGAGAGACTGCAATGAACGCATTACTGGACACTGGTCTTTCATATGTATTTTCCATGAACAGCCATGTTTTTAAAAGTTTGCATTTGTGAGAAAACCTCTATTCATGTATTACAAACAAGCACTTCTTTCTTACGTGCAGTTAGAGACTAAAAACACTGGGAAAAGGCACAGGCAGGTTTCATCCACTCCTCTTCATTATTGCCTGGGCAGTAGCAGCTTTCATAATTAAAGTCTAAATCCCAAGAGTCATTGGCAGACCACTTGTTGTAAGTGAAGCATATATCATAGCATTCATTAGTACACGATTTTGTATTCAAGACTTCTCTGTGGTCCTGCTTTCTATGAATTGAGAAACCTTTTAGACAGCAGAACAGGGTGACAAAAAAACATTTGCTAAAAATGGTCACACAGTGACTTTGTTTAAACTTTTAGAGGTATTTTAACTTGCTTGTAATTCTCTGCAGGTGACACTGAAGACGAGGACACCGTCCATACACATGACTTCATTCTTCACCTCTTCTATGCCTTCCATCCTCCACCAGAACCTGAAGATCAACTCATCTGAACAGCCAAGTCCCTGGCTGAACCGTAGCACCTGGCCACCAGTCAGCTCTTCAGATTTAGGGATGTCCTGCTTCACTATGACATTTGGTGCCATCTCCAACCTCACGGCTCTGGGCATCCTCGCTAAGTCCAGTGTCCGATTCCGCCGCCAGTCCAAAACACCATTTCTGCTGCTAACAGTGGCTTTGCTTTTGGCTGACCTGGGAAGTCATGTGATCCCAGGCACCTTTGCCTTGTATCTACACATGGATCAGAGGTATAAAATACATGCCAGCAAGCCCACCAAGGAATTCTGTCAGATCTTCGGGGCAAGTATGGTGTTTTTTGGCTTGTGCACTTTGCTATTGGGTTGTGCCATGGCAGTAGAGCGCTGTGTGGCCATCACCCAGCCCTTTTTCCACACTGCTATGATCACATTGGCTCATATGAAGCAGGTTGTCCTATTTCTGTCCTCTCTTGCACTTGTGCTGGCAGTTCTACCTTTCTTTGCTGTAGGGACTTACACTACCCAGTCTCCTGGGACATGGTGCTTCTTGCCTATCCATGATCCACAGTCTACAGCTGACACCAATCTGGCTCTGGCCTTCTCATGTCTGGGCCTGACTGCACTGGCGCTTTCCCTGCTCTGCAACATCCTGAGTGGTCTGGCATTGCTGCAGGCCAGAATGAAGTCCCATGATGTTAATACAAATTCATCAGATTGCTGTACTCGTCATGCATCATCTGCATTGTCTTCCTCCTTGTTCTGCTCATTGGATGTGGAGATGATGGCACAACTGGCAGTTATCACTCTGGTTTCCAGTGTATGCTGGAGCCCTTTTCTTGTAAGTACTATAAGTTTAAGATTGCAGAATTTGTTTCCATTTTCACATTAATGGTCAGGTGTTTTAAAGAATATTGTAGCTGATAAAGTAATAGCTTTGTCTCTCTCACATTATAGATCCACATTCTTGTGATGCAGTTCAACCAAAGAGTCTCAGCACGTGAGAAAGATGGGTTCATTCTTCTGGGCTTACGTATGGCCTCCTGGAATCAGATCTTGGACCCTTGGGTTTACATCTTACTGAGGAGGGCAGTATTTTTCAGAGTTTGCTGTGCCACAGGGACAGCAAATGGCACATGTGGAGATACACGCAGGCAGGCCTTCAGTCTACAGTGACCATGTTGCTCTTGGACTTTTTCTCTTATAGACTTAAATAAATCATTTCCTTCATGTGTGTTGTGGAAAATGAATGCAAGCTGTGTTATTTATTTATTTTCAACAGGGCCTGGTGAGGTCCACACAACAGGAGTCTACACGGCAGCAGTGTGAATGAGGGATGGAAATGGACTTTCACAACATCTCACAAAATTTAGTTAGTAGTCTGTGCCGGTGCTACTATCAATAGCAGCCACCTGCAAATCTAGTGGTTGAGTAATTGGGCGGTGTTAGAATTGTCCAATCATAATTGAGAAAAGCTTGACAAGCGCCGAGTTGAACAAATGGCTGAGCTGCTGAGGGAGACACACTCGGGGTGGGCGGTGCTTCTTTTAGCAGGACTCTATTCAATATGGAGTACAGAAAATAGCCTGATTCATCCGCATTCACTGCTCTCATTCACGTTTCGGTCACTTTCGAATGTCGGGCACAAATTATGAACTCTCGCTCTCTTACGTTTGACATAGGCCTATTTCCAAATACCGTATGTGAACCGTTTACATAACCGTGCGGACGAGCAGTAAACTGTAACACTGTTGTAACAATTGCAAACTACACAACATTAGTTTACTTGAAAACGCGACATTGTAATTCTTCTCGACGCTCTCAACATCCGGAGGAAGATCTGAACATTCGATAGTTTCCGCGAAAGTAACTAAGTAACAACTTGTGCCGACCGGAGGGGTTAGCGGGTGAAAGGTGACATCGCTTCAGTCTGTTGACTCGTAGGTAGGCCTAAGATGTTTTACAGTAAAAGTATGTAGATTTTGCCTTTAAGTTGACGATGATACTTTGTGTTATCTGCAGTGATGTCTGTTATGTGCACTGCTCAAATGTGAACTGATTGATATGAGATAACTGTATCCCTACTCGGGTTTTATGTATTATTTAGCTATTAACCTTTAAAAAAGTTTCTTGTATGTAGCCTATTTGTGTGTACCAGCATAGGCATACTACAGTTCAAGTTCAACTTCCTGAGGGAAAACCAAGTAGGCTTCAACTTGTGCCCATTCTGTCCTAAAACACATCTTTTTCCATTTCCCTCATGACAAGAATGCACAATGCAGCGAGTGTCTCAGCCTCTCTGGGGTCTGTGGGACTGTTGCGTCTCTTTGGGGTGTCCTGGTCCTGGAGTCTGGTAGCAGGCCTTGGGGTTTATCTGGGCACAAGAAGCTGGAAATACTTTTACATTGCAGCACGCACTGCCAAGAGAGATCTGAAGTAAGTTAGATATGTCTAAATATAGTTCTGATCATTGCTTGTGGCTCCACATCTTTACTTACCTCCATTTTTCCTTGTCTTCCTTCTCTGACCCTCATCAGTGGCCTGTATGTGCTGTTGAGAGTGAAGCTGGCTTTATGGCGCTACATGCGCAATGGAAGTAACATTCCTTCCATATTTGCCCAGACAGTAAAACTCCACCCAAATAAACCAGCACTGATCTATGAGGCCACGGGGGAAACGTGGACCTTCACACAGCTGGATGAGCTGACTAATGCAGTGGCCCACTGGGCAAGAGGTCAGGGATGGGTCTCGGGCGACGTGGTTGCCCTCTTCATGGAAAGCAGGCCGTTGCAGGTGGCGCTTTGGCTGGGCTTGGCCAAGGTTGGGGTGGAAGCTGCACTCATCAACTTCAACCTCCGCCATGATTCCCTCCTGCACTGTATCGGGGTGTCAGGGTCCCAGGCTATTGTGTTCGGAGCTGAGCTTGCTGATGGTAAGAAAGTGTTAAACAAGGTAGGAAAAGCTGATCAAGAAATTAGCATTAGGTTTTAAGTCTGTATCAAGGAAGAAGGGTAAATTCTTAAATGCTGTATTATAGGATAATAGGTTGCCTCTTATTCAGCTGATTATTTAAAAAGGAAGATGGTTACGTTGTCATTGCAAGCAAAGGTCCTAACGTACTGATTAACCTCAGCAACAAATTTATATCTTTAGTTAAGATTTTGTGTGTAACAACATGTGACGTAACACTCTAATATAATATTTTTGTGCAGAACATAAACTGTGAAAATGACTTTGTCTTTAACATGTGGTGAGGACATGCTGTAGCTGATCACATTGCCAGTAAAACAACGTCTATTCCATGTCCTTTTACATTACATTACATTTAAGCATTTGGCAGATGCTTTTATCCAAACCAACTTACATTTGAGGAACAACATGCAAGCATCAACAAAGTATCAAATACAGCACAAGATCTGCAACTGACAATACAGTGACGATACATACTAGTAAGAGCAGCAGTAAACACTAGTTAGAGCTAATAGCACATATTGCATCAATGGGGTAAATAGAGTTAGCAAAAAAGTGCAATCAATACAAAAGAATTGTAGGGGGATAGAAGAAGAAGAGCACAGGAAGTGCCTGCTGGTTAACATTTGATTGTCCTAGTTCTCTGTTAAAATACAAACACTTTACTCTTTTCTCCTTTGTCTCTGTAATTACTGTAATGTTCTAAGTGTGTGCATATGTGTGCGGGGGGTCTGCTTTTGTCTTTTTGTCGTCACATTGGTCCATGATGGTTTCATTTGTCGGTTTTATAGGTATTATTGCTTCAGAAATTAAATTTAGTACTTTGACCTTTTACTAAAAGGATCATGTAATGAAGTCACAGCATATATTTATAGCATATATTATATTATTAGATATATATTTACAGTATGCTCATATTTAAACAAGAGCACTTGAACTAACATGACTGGTGTCCTGTCTCTCTCTCTCTCCCCCTTGTTCCTCTTAATGAATGTCAGCCATGTTGGAGGTCAGTTCCTCCTTCAGCCAGTCCATGGTACGGCTCTGTACGGGAGACCTCAGTGCAGAACTTCTGGCCTGTTTGGGTGCTCAACCTCTGGACCCAATTTTAGCCTCTGCACCTAGACATCCCCCTTCACCTTGTGTTCCCCCCAAAGGCATGAACGGTGAGTACCTTATCTATCGCTGAACTCAGTTCTGGCTCTATTTAAGACTTAATCTGTATGTTAAGCTATTTCCTTTTGCAGTTTCTCTGATAAGCTTTTGTTTTTGTTTGTGTGAGTGTTTTTTTTTACTTTGTTCTAAATTCTTAGTGAACATTATGTGACTCAAGCGTGATGTGGTGAATCCTCAGCTGTGCAGAACTTTGAGAGTGATGAGTAATTTTTAATTTGAGATAGATATTGACATTTTTCCCTGGACAGCTGTCTGTAGTAGGTGTGAATGACTTGTTGAGATGTGTACTGTCTGAATAACACACCATATATGAACAATGTCTTAGACAAATAAACATAGTTCAAGTCCGCATTGAAGGTGTGAGCCTGAGATATACCCCACATGACAAACTAGAGGTATGTATTTCCCCACAAAACATGGGGCAGAATAAAAGCAATGACTATATTTTCTGTTCTGGCATTCTTTGGGATGGCATTCCAGCAGTGACTGAAATACTGTGAAGACACCTGTATGGATCTTAAACTGGCAGAGGGTCATTATAATGCTCTATTGTATTCTCTTCTGCAGACCGTCTATTTTATATTTACACCTCTGGCACCACAGGACTACCCAAGGCTGCCATTGTGGTACACAGTCGGTATGTTACTCACAAAATAATCATTCTCCAGAGTTGTTACAGTTGCTGCACAGCTGATGTTAGATGTCTGAGAATCTCTCCTGTGTTCCCGACAGTTACTACAGAATTGCTGCTTTTGGGTATTTTGCCTTTGTCATGCGCCCTGATGACATCATCTATGACTGCCTGCCTCTCTATCACTCAGCAGGTATGTGATGGTAGCCTCCCTCTCTTGGTGAATACAGTTTTCCGCTTTAGATTTGCATCATAAAAGTGTTAGCTTTCTCATCTTGGCAGGTAATATCATGGGAGTTGGTCAGTGTCTAATCCATGGCCTCACTGTGGTAGTGAAGAAGAAATTTTCTGCCAGCCGCTTCTGGGAAGATTGCATTAAGTACAACTGCACTGTAAGAGCTTATGCTTGGAAAATACTGAGTGCCATATTTAAATTAAATCAAAAACTAAAAAAATTACTTTGAACAAGTGCTGCCACAATAACAAGTTTACTTTCCTGTCGTAGGTGGTGCAGTATATCGGGGAAATCTGCCGCTACCTCCTGTCTCAGCCAGTACGGCCTTCAGAAAAAGGCCACAAAGTTCGTCTAGCAGTGGGAAACGGGTTGCGGCCCAGTGTGTGGGAGGCCTTCACAGAACGTTTTAGGGTGGCGCAGATTGGCGAGTTCTACGGAGCGACTGAGTGCAACTGCAGCATTGCCAACATGGATGGCAAGGTCAGCAATCACAGTGTTAATTGTGTCTTCACTGATAAAATGTGAATTGGATTAGAGTCAAGCTAATTCTGTCCTGTCAGGTGGGAGCCTGTGGATTCAACAGTCGCATTCTCCCCAATGTGTATCCAATCCGTCTGGTGAGGGTGGACGAGGACAGCATGGAGCTGGTTCGCGACAGCCGGGGCCTCTGTGTGCCTTGCCGCCCTGGTAACTAATACTTAAACTACAATAACGACTTAGCTACGCGTAGTATGTTATTGTTCACCACGTTGATCTTCTGATAGCACTCCATTAAACTGCTCCTTGTCTTGCAGGGGAGCCAGGGCTTCTGGTGGGTCGTATCAACCAGCAGGACCCATTAAGGCGTTTCGATGGATATGCTAACCAGGACGCTACGAAGAAAAAGATAGCTCACAATGTCTTTAAGAAAAATGATTCTGCATATATATCAGGTTACAAATCATTTTTATTTGTCTTTTAAGTGTTCATGGTATTTATAACTCTTAAAACTTGAAAGTTGAAACCCTGACAAATAAAGACTGTCAGATTGCCAAGCTTCCTTTTTCAAAGCTTGGTAGGGATAATTATGATTGTTTAGCCATACTGTGACTAGACATCTGAGTTTTTGACCCAGTTATTTCCCCATATGTCTACCCTAGGTGACGTACTGGTGATGGATGAACTGGGCTACATGTACTTCCGTGACCGCGGCGGAGACACTTTTCGCTGGAGAGGAGAAAATGTCTCAACCACAGAGGTGGAGGGCATACTCAGCAGTCTTCTGGGTCAGACTGATGTGGCTGTGTATGGCGTGGCAGTGACAGGTGATGGTTAACTTCATATACTTCCTGCTTTCAGCATCACATTAGGACCATTTAGTGCATGTTGCTTTTGACTGTACTTACTACTTGACAAGCATTTATTTCTATGTGTTATGGCAGGTGTGGAAGGAAAGGCAGGCATGGCTGCCATTGCAGACACTACAGGGAGTTTTGACTGCAACAGTTTCCTGAAGGAAGCCCAGCGCGCTCTTCCTCCGTATGCTCGCCCTGTGTTCCTGCGAATCTCCCCACATGTTGACACCACAGGTAAACTTTCCTGTGTTCATAAAAATGTTAACCATCACTGAAGATTTCAGATCAGTAAATCATATTCTTTTGTGTATCTCCACATTCCTGCATAGGTACATTTAAAATCCAGAAAACCAGGCTGCAGAGAGAGGGATTCGACCCACGTCTCACCGCTGACCAGATCTACTTTTTGAACACTAGAGCTGCGCGTTATGAGGCTGTAGATGAGGAGCTATACAATGCTATAGCGGAGGGAAGAATGTCTCTATGACATCGAGGCCATAGCATGGCAGTCGTGGTGCCTCAGTTAAACAGAAGCTGTAAAGGAAGGATAGCGTATGCATATGCTGGTTTCGGAATAAGTCAATCTTGGTGCACCACCTGCCGAGATTATGACTGTTCACGGAACAGAGTTAAAAGGACTACTTACATAGGCAGAGTATTGTTTCAGATGATGTTTTAACACTGTATGAGTAACATACGAGTACATAATGTGAGGGCATTTAATACTTTTTAATAACTTTTTTAAAAAATGTATTAAATGAACACCTCAAAAGGATGTTGAGCATTACCGCACATAGAGTGGGTATCTCCCACAACCCATTTGAAATAGTATACATGTTACAGTAATGTGATTAGGACAGCAAGAGGGCTATCAAGTCTAACTTTGTTACGGGGTGTAACCCCTTTATGAAATATGCTGCCAGAATTAGGTTTAAGCAATACTTTAGGATGAGGCTATGGCGTTACTGCCGCGTGTTTGGATAAGGCTTAAAGACCGGACTTCAACATGCAGTGAAGGCACGTGGCTACTAGATCAAACACTAACCATAGAGTATTTTTTTATGCAATTGAAAACTAATCTCACTTGTCATATTTGAACCTCTGAACAACAGTGGCATGGGTTTGCAAATACACAAATGTTACAGTATGTGCCTTATATGAAGCTTCCAATCTGTTTAAATCATTTGTTATGCCTTTGCTTGGAAATAAGCCAGAAGTGGTAGTGATTTTGTGTCATGCAAAGCTACGTCACACATAGTGACTGTACATTCACGTAACAAATCTTATCAGTATAGTAATATATAGGTGTTAAAGATTGTGAAGCTATTTACAATTTCAGATCCTCCAGATTACATGTTATGTTGTAACTCAAATAAAATATTTTAAAACATTTCTGTTTCATGTCATTCATCAATAATAATTTAGAGGTGCATTTTTCGTTCAGTGTTCCCCACAGTCATCTCTTGCAAGAGAAAACATGATCATATGTTCACAAGCTTAAGCAGCCCTTAATTTCTTTCATTGGATTTTTATATAAGCAATGTTTGGCAAAATGTTTCCAGTGTGAGTTAGTGGTCCATTGACAAGGATATTCTTGTGGATAGGATTTTCAGTGGATGCTCTTTGCAGGCAGTGCAAAAGTAGGGAAAGGCTCTGGGTGTGATGACATCTGTGAAGGTGTACAGAGGTGTTCTCTCTCTGGGGTCATAAAACGTCACCTTGCCTCGGTCCATGTCTAAAACTACTCTTATCACTTCTGGCTTCGTAGTCATGTTCAGCGGCTCCCATGGTGCTGTGCAGGCCTTATGCTCTCCGTTGCGAAACCGTATAGTCCAGAATCCCTCTGCTGGCGTCAGTACGTGCTTGCCCTTCCTGTTGATGGACTCACTGGCTACTCCCACCACCCAGTAGGTGTTGTCCTTCACCTCTACATCCCAGCTGTGGCGTCCAGAGGAATAGCCCTCAGCAGCCAGCATTTCAGCACTGATGTCAAAGCGTTCAGGGTTGTCTGGCAGCTTGAAAATCTGGGTGCAGTTCTGCACAACTGTGAGATCTTCTGAGAGGCTGAAGCAGCTAGCTGCTGTGTTGGGATCTAGAATCACAGGATCTTGAGAAAAAAAAACAAGGTTCAAGTTACTTAAATGGCAGGGAAAGAGCTGATCAATAAAACATGACTAGTTATAGTTTGAGGAACGCACTATATTTTACTATGCTCTTCATCTTCTCCCACACTTTATATTTCAGAGAGCCCAAGTGCTTGGCCACATCAATCAGAGCACCAGAAATCATCTTTGGATTGGGGGAAGTTCGCCAGGTTCTGAAAAGACACTTAAGCAGTTAGTGGTTGAGAATTGTGTCTATAGAGCTATATTATCCTAAAAAATAAGCTCAACTGGATCCTAGATGTAGCAATAATACATACCTTCTTATTGTTTCTTTGTAATTCTAAACAAAATTGAAGAGAACAAAATGTTTCACCAAATGTGCATATGAAAGTTTCTTCTAAGATTTGTTACATGAATTGTCTGATAAATATAATACTATAATATCAGTCTTATTTACCTTAAGAAATGGGATGTCTTGAGATTTCATGTCCTGTTCTACTAATCTGATGGTGTTGGACAGAGATGTAATTTCATTGCTCATCTCCTCAATCCTCTGGTTAATCATCAGAGTCTTCTCATCCTCATCGGCCTTCAAAGCAGAAAGCCTAGCAGCCTCTTGCTCTTTTAGAAAACAGTGAAGGGCTTCAAATTCCTCTTTGATCTGTGTTTCGGTATGTTCAGCTTGGTTCTGGGAAGAGACATGATTGATGGTTAATCATTGCCTTCACACCTTTGCTCTCAACTGTGTTCAAGGTAACATGATGTAGTGATGGAACTGACAGTACCATGACATGTTCTGCCATTTCCTCACAGGCCATTTTCGCTTTCTTGTACAGCTGCATCTTCTCTTTCAAAGGCAGCAGCGCACTCTTCAGTTCTTCCTATAAAGTCGGTGACAGGGAATCAACACTTAAAGTCAGGGTCAGTCTGGCAGATGGGCAAGCTGTCAGCACAACATGGGGCTCTCAGCTGCCACATACTCTTCTATGGCAGTATTGCCTGTAAAGGCAAAGCTGCACAATACAGCAGCATCAAGTTAAAGGGATCTATGGAAGAGGATCTAATGCTCTTGTAACAAGCAAAATATACCTCATGCAGCTTAGAATCAAGCAAGGGACACAATATGGCAACCAATAGATTAATTTTAAATGAAGGTTTCCCGTTCTTGAGAGAAGGTGGAGGAGGGCAAGAGTATAATAAATGTGGCGTCACAGAAATGTTGTGGGAGTCGAGTTTCAGTCCTCTCGGGACCCCAACAGCAGTGGCAAACCAAAAATATGAATCTATTATTAGAATGTTAATGAACTCTGCCAAACACCTTCACACATATCAGCATATCAGGCTAAGAGAAGCACAAAGACAGTAAGAAAATCTAAATCAAACCTGGTGAAAAACACAATAAACAATATATTTTCAAAATGTTGACAAGCTGTAAATTAAAATAATGTCCAGGTACACGGTGCCATTTTCTCTTATAAAATAGATAGCCTTTGAGATTTCATCTGTAAATGCTCAAAAGTCGAATCAGTTATGCTTGTCAAAATAATCTTCACATTTTATTTTTGAAGGCTTATGCACACTACTGTTGACCTTAGGTACTTTCATTTCAGCATTCAAATAATGTGAAAGATATTTCAATAGACATCATCATTCATTCCATCTGCAAAAAAATGTTGTAAAACAAGAGAAAATGTCTTTGATAATGCAACATTTTCTAAGCATGTGTTGCTGGAGATATGCAGATCAAATAATGTGCTACCAATGTGATGTACTGGGGTGACCAACCCTGTAACTTTAACTTGCCTACCTTACAGTCATGAGCACCTTCCCCAATAGGATAGAGTCTGTGCCCAGTGTGTGCAGCTGCTTTCCCACACACACCACAGATTGGCTCCAAGTCCTCCAAACAAAACAGCGTGAGCTTTTCTCCATGCTCCTTACAAGCCTCTGGGTCATTCTTGCTTCTGTCCAGCTTGAAGGATTCACAGGACTTCTCCAGCACAGTGCTCACCACTATTTGATCCATGGAGGAACGGCGCCAGCACAGAGGACAATAGTTTGAATCCCCACGGCCTTGTGTCTCCCAGCTGTCTTTTAGACAGGCTTTACAGAATCTGTGTCTGCATGTGAGCACCACTGGCTGACTGAGAATGTGTCCACAAATTGGACAGGAAAGGTCATCTTCAACATGAGCACGTCTGGTGGCCATTCTTCTTCACAGTGCTTTGATGGCTGCAGGATCCGAGGCCCCTCCCTTGTCTCTGGAAGGCTACCTCATCTTAACCTCAGAAATAAGTGTTAATACCTCAGCTCCCTAAGGCATATCCAGTGTAAGACTGTGTTGTGTTGAGCATGCACATTGTGCATTCTCAAATAAACACCACACCTCAGAATGAAACGAGCAAATAACAGCCTGAATTACCCAAGGATGATAGAAGAGATTGTGGTGGTGATGGAACATTTGCCCTCAACATGGTCTTTTGATTGCATGTTATGCAATGATTACCTCTTAGTTATTTGAGATGTCTGTTGAAACAACCTGTCACAGTGTGATGAAAGAGTTTACTTAGAAACAATGTCCAAAATAAGACTCAGGGCGCAGATATAAATAGACACAAGTAAGTTATGGGGGTAAAGAAATATCCTCCAGCTAACCATTCAAACTGTTTTTTTCCATGGTCAAATTTATCTTTGGACAACAGCTTTGTACGACACGTGGTAATTTTTAAAATATCACAGAGTAAATCCCATGTATGAAATACTTAGTTAGTTAATCTGTTTGTTTAGTTTAGTTTTAGTTTTTAAGGGCAAATAGAGGGTATTTCAAAGCATGGAGTGCACACAGTAGCATGACCACCTTAAAGGTTAATTTGTTAATTTCAGAAGTATTTCACAGTAAGCTGACCTTGTTTGTACTGTAATCCAGTATTTTGTTGTGGGAGTTAGTTTACTAGAATCAATGCTGCGCCAGAAATAGGACGCATAGACAGAGACAGAGAAGTGAATACGATCCTGCCATTAGAAAACAATATGTAGCCTAGTGCTGCTTCAACTCTTCTGTATAAAGCACTGTATTGTAGCCCTTACATCTCACAGTCTCACAGTCAGCTTTAAACGGAAAGTTATGTGTGCACTGTAGGTGTAACAAATTAGTTTATAGGTAATGGTCGCATTCATACACAACTTCTCATGGCTTTATACTGTGTATTGACATTAATTTATTTATTATTATGCAAGGTTTTAGAATACTAAAGTCAGGAATAAGGTATAGCGTGTATTTGTAAAATAAAAGTCTAACATATCACAGCAAGGCATAATATCAACATTAAAGAAATAACAGATGAAGAGTCCAAAAAGAGTTATTTGTCTTGAATGCATTCTGTGTAGTATAGTGAATGAACACTTTTATTTTCACTCACCCAGCCTGAGCAATGCCTGACCAAATAAGGGAGTCTTGTTGGATGCCAAAGTGATTAAATTTGTGTCCGTGTCAGTGCGGGGGAAGCAGTTCGGAGCCATTGATAGTAACACTCAGAAGACCCTAACACACATACACACTACAGCCATGCCAGATTAATAGTGGCTCTGCATACAGTCACTGGATAGATATCAGATATTCTTTTAAAATGGATTTCTTTATTTTGACAGTTTTATGTGTTTTGAATATTTCATTAAAACAATTGTACACAATGCAATTTAAAGTTATGGCTGGAAAGCTGTTCTGGTTAAAGTAGGTGAATTTAGTCAAATTGAATAGCTGTTTTAATTTGGTGAGATGTTTCAGCTGTTTTAATCTTCACATTACTCATCTGGTGAACTGCAGTTTATCAAACCGTAAACAGCTTCTAAATGGTTGAGAGGAAATTAATTGGGAAAAGACAGGTGGACTGCTTTGCTGTGTGGGTTTACATGTTTACACACATCTGCGTGTGTGTGTGTGTTTGTGTGTGTGCGTGCAGACATGTCATACAGAGGCAAACAGAAATAATTGGGAGGCTGACAGTCATTTTACTACAGTGCATAGTCTACAGAGCCTGTGGGGAGGAACAGAGTCCTTGTGGTTTTTCTGACATGTTTTTCATTACAACATTGTACAGGTACAAGGTGTAACTACTTTTCAGCCTGGGAATAAGCATTAATAATGATCAATAATCATTGTCTACTCTACACATCATTCATTATGAAGTATGAGCTACATGCTAGACCAAATACATTAAGAATTTTGTTTTGCTGACTTTTTGCCTGATACTTTAGTGGGGTTACTAAACCTGTAAAGATCTACATTTAATCAAATATATGCTCAACACGTGTTAATAGAAAGAGTACAATGACTTTTTATTCAGCTTACCTTATAATCCTTAAATGCCTCCTTTATAGGATACACTCTGTGATTCATATGCAGATGATCTGTGGCACATAGAGCAGATAGGCTCCAGATCAGCCACACAGAGGAGCAACAGTCTCATTCCATGTGCTTCACATGATTTATGTGGAAGTCTAAGGTTCTCTTTAAAGCAGAGAGGACACTCTTTAGTGCCATGTTGTGTCCAGAACTGCTCCAAGCAAGAGTTACAAAAGCTAAGATCACAACCAATGCAGCAGAGGACCACTGAAGCCAGGAAGATTTCCCCACACACAGCGCAGCAGGACTCGTCCACACCCTGACATGAGATGTTAACCTCCATCTGTGAAATTCAGTGCAACACTGATGGGTTTTCCCTCTGCATGTGCTGTGTGCATTTAACTGCATCCAGTCCTGCAGCTCAGCTCCTCTAGTTTCACCATAAATAACGTACACATTTAAGAGCAGCTCAGTTCCAAACCCAGCTACTAAGAAACTGGAAAGTAGCACTAATGTCTCTGCTGCTTTCCTCTCATCTCCTCACACACACACACACACACACACTTATAACCAGTATTTCTAATGACATATGTTTTGTATAATATATGGATATGGAAAAAGTATGTAAAAGTAGTATTTTAAATCACATGGTCCACTTTATTGATTTTCACATAATAATGACAAAGGTGTGACTCTTTTTAAGACAGTACAGAGACAAATACATATTAGCTGAAGAATATATAAGAAGGAAATGGAATTAAAAGCTGGAGTAGTGTATGTGAAAGTTTCTGATCAGTTGCACTAACAAAGAAAGGTCAAAAAGTGTAACAACATGGGCCTGCACAGAATGTATTCCAGAGTTGAGTCATCCATGGCTTCCAAAGTTTAAAATGTCAGTTGAGCTGGGTCAATACTCTGTAAGTGAGATTTCTTTTCTGCTTGACAAGAGATTAAGGCAGCCATGAACTCGAAACACAGGGAACATTCAATCTGGCTGGAGAAAATCTCGGCTGCTGACAGGGCATGATGGGATATGGCCATTATATTGCCACCAAAACTTACGTATTAATGAGAATGTATGTACAATCTTCAAATCTCCAGTGAAAGTAGCAACTATTATTGTTCGTGTATGGTCTGAAGTGTATTACATCTGTTTTTGTTTAAAATGTTTTTGCGTCTTATGTTACATAACCTTTACAAACATATCAGCTGCTTTTTGACTATGTATACCCAGTGCTTCTCTGATAAGACAGTTTTTAAATCAAACTTACTTTATACTTTTTGGCATCAATAGCATCTTAATAATCTTTTCCAGTACAACTTTTGTCCTTAAAATTTTTCTTTCACCTTCTCTCGCTGTCCTCAGGGGCCAGAGGTCTTATGACACAATGACTTCACATCATCTTCTTGTCGGGTTGATCAGAGGCACGTCCTGAGCGTTGGTGTCGGACCTCCAAGTGTTTGCTCTGAACGCGGTCAAAATGCTGGAGCAGCTCATTGTAATCCATCTGAGTGTGAGAGGCACGTTTGGAGGCCACCTGCTGTTTAGAGTCCATGTACTTGGATTCATCCACAGTCCTCATGAGCTCTGGGTTGGGGACACACCGCAAGCGGTGCGAGAGCAGCTGGAAGGCCTGGCTCTGTGGCAGCAGCATCAGCAGGCCATACAGTGCCTTTATCAGGTAAGGGTTGTTCTCCACATCAAGGAGCTGCAGGCGCAGGTAGGTGAAAATGGGGCTTTCAATGAGCTGTACCAGCTTGTCGACCTCCATCAGGAAGTCTACTGTCACCTCCAGATCTCCAAACTTCTGGATGAGATCATAGGCGTGTTTGTAGTTCTGCGTGAGGAAACAGAGCGACACAGTGGCCACAGGGTTGTGGCACCAGGAACGATACAGGCAGCAAAACAATGCACAGCTCTCCTGAGTGCGCAGGTCTTTCAGCTGGTTGCGTAACTGGAAGAGCTCAGCCGAGGTGAGCAGGATGGTGTTGAGAGTCTGCACCATGGTGGAGGCAAATTTGAGGTCCTCCTCCTTCAACAAGATGTCAGCCATGGAATGGAAGATGTTCTCTGCATGAAGCAACAGACAGAGCTGCCTGATGATGAAAGCTCCTCTGTTCTCCAGAAGCTTCCTCTCCAGACTGAAACGTTTGAGCAGGTTGATCATGAACTTGTAAAAATAAGAGTTCATACTGGGAGTGGAGGGGGATGAGTCCACTGCTTTGGAGTCTGTGCTGGACTGTTGTCCTGGCTGGGCACTTTCTGGGACTTTGAGCTCCAGTTTATTGTCAGTGCTGTCGCAGGAGCTGACATGGTCTGTTTGGCCAGCGGGAGATGATGCTATCTCAGCTAACACCTCCAGATCTTTCAGTATCACCTCATCAGACTCATCAGACAGTGTTTTCAGCAGCATGGGAAACAGGCTGTCTGTGTGGCGGAACATTTTGCGCGGTGTCTTGATGTAGAGGTGGTATAGCCATTTGAGCACGGCTATGCGGGTCATCATGCCAGTGGAGGAATCGTGGAGGTGCCGGTCCAACACCTGAACAATACCATCCAGGTCCAGAGTTACTTGAGGCCTGTCAGCACTCGCTGGAGTAAAGAAGCTGATATTACTGAAACCAACTGATTCTTGTGATGCGTTCAGCATGTCATTGCTGTCCACCTCGGTCTTAGGCTGGCCATCTTCCCTGGACGGCGATAATGTACTTCCACTTCTCTCTTCATCCTCATCATCCTCGGGAATCACCAGCTTCATCAGACTGTGATTACAGGCACTGGCTGCTTCTTTGGTATTCTTCTTTCTGTCATCGTAGGAGAGGCAAGGCAGCACTGCAGTTAGGATGCCAGAGGAGTAGGGGAGCATCACTCTGCCTGCAAGCTGGATAAACTCTCTCATCCACGTCATAGCCGTCAGCTGGATCAGGTCATTTGTGAGTTTTGTTTCATCTGCAACCTGGCAGTGGATGACCAGGATGTTGGCCATCTCTGCAAACTTCACGCTGGAGGGCGCCTTCTTAATCTCCTTCAGGAACTCTCCCAGCACCACTTCACACGTCCTCCGGATCTCCTTGCTGTTGTCTCCCAGGATCTGGAAGAGCCCATCCAGGAACTCAGGGAGGTAGTCTAACAAGTTGATGTCTGGCACAGACTCCAGAACATGAATCCAGGAAATGATGAACTGACGAGCATACTGATTATTGGAGTAGATTCTCTCTCTAAGCAGGGGGACAAAGGCCACTAGGTCAAACTTGTTACTTTCTGTCACAATGTCTTTCAGTAGTCTGTCCAGGAGTTCAGATCCGCTTTTCACATTGGGGTCTGGATCTGCTGCAAGCTTGCTGAGACCATCAAAAAGCAGGTTGAAGTGGGGCAGCACAGCTCCCCTGGCCACCTTGACTATATTATAGAGGGCCTCACAGGCATAGTAGCGCAAACGGCTGTCTGAGTCATTAAAACATGTGAGTACTGGCTCAATAAGCTCCTTCAGATACAGACCTGAGTCCTTGCCGAGGGCGATGGAGCAAGCTGCCAGTCCAATGAGACCCCCTTTCCGACTGTGGGGGTGCTGGGAAAGCGCAAACTCCGAAGCCAAGATCTGAATTACGTGCCGGATTTGAGTGGAGTTGTTCTGAGCCACAAACTCCCGTACCAGTTTCTCAATTTCAAGAGCTGCGACTTTCCGCTTCTCGTACAGTTTATCGTTCAGAGCCCTGACAATGTTGGGCGTCAGAGGCGAAAAGTCCTTCTCCGCGTTCATGTTCGTAGCTGCGGTTGTACCGGGTCCTATCTACTGAAATCAACGTCGAACTGCGAGAAAGCAGTCTGCATTTATGATCATTTATTAGAGATAAAACATCGGTTTCACTCGTTAACCAGGAAGCCTTGTGATCCAATGCAGCTGACCGGTTAGTTCCTCCGGAAACACGTCACGGTTGCTACATTTATTTGGGTCCCGCTTTGCGAGCACCGTTAGCGCAAATTAGCTTCATTAGCTACGTATAAAGCTAACGCATGTTTTAATTTTTAAACTTATAGTTTCGCTTGTTAGGTTTTCTTGTTAGTTTTTTTTCTTCAGCCGGTGAGGCGGGTTGTTACAGCCAGCATCCGCGATGGCGAGCCGCTTATCTTTTCACTCACAACTCTCGTCCATCATGGAGACGATGGCCAGGTCTGCCCTGAGTCAGGTCTGCAAACTGGTGGACGAAGGCTCGGCTGAGCTCCGGTTGGAGTTGTCTCGGCTCCTGGTCGCTAATTCAGCCCTGGCAGAGAAAATTAACAATCTGGAGTGCGAGCTGACGATTGTGAGAAGCGACGCCCCCAAGTTGAGTAAAAGTTATCGCAGCGTAGGTGTACAAACTGTGTGCTACAGAGACGGGGACGCTGATGGTACTTCAGTTTCACAGTAACAATAACTTTGATGATTTGAACAGAAATCATCAGTATTGCTTCTGTGTTTGCTGGTGTGTTTTCCCTGTTTACTTATGTTTGACTTTTCCTCAGTGTCTGGGCCGCCCACCATAGAGGGGATCTTTGGAAAAGATTGGTGTATGAATCTGTGGAAAGACAGAGACCCATACAGTCTGGAGACTGTCACAGACTCACCCCAGTCCTCTGAGAAGGTAAGATGAAGGTTTACAGAGGTATTCAATGTTTGATATCCTTACGGCCTTGAGCAATAAACTGTGTTTACAGGCGCCCAGCATGCAGCAGAGCAGGTACTATGTAGATTGAAATAAATAAAGTATACAAACTTCATCATACATCCAACATATCCCATGTTTTTAATATTGCAATGGAGAAAAGAAATGGATAAAACTATGCATATACACCTTTAAAGGTAGCAGTAACTCGGGAAGGGAGTGTATAGATGCCCTGACACATACAGTACATGATGGAAATAACAGTTAAAAATTACTAGCTCAAAAGCAATACACTTGGGAGTAATAATGTAATACTTGTATGTTTCCTAAAAATCCTTTGTTTTATAAAACATCAAATAATTGGAAAAATGTGCCCATCACAATTTCAGAGCCCAACATGACACATGTGCAAAACCCAAATATATTTAATGTAATGAAGAGAGAAGCAGAACCAGATAAGGTTTTACATGTTTCCTTGATTATTCACTTAAACAGCTGATTCATTACTTCACTAATTATTTCAGCCCTAATCTGGTGAAGCATTGGCGTCACAGAGAAGGTTAGTCTTTCGAACTACTGTTTAACATTTCGACTGTTTCTGTTGCAGTTTGTGGCGACACTGTCAGACCAAATTAATATAACTGAGATTAAAGAGGAGGATTACATAGAGGATGCTGCCAGCAGCTGCCAGCAGCAAACACTTGGTACAGAAGGTAAGAGACACAGAGACAGATTTAGCAGCTTTAGATGCTTTTGGAGTGTTTGACATCGTATTTTTATGTAACAGAACATGAAGAAAGCATAGCTGGGGAACCAGAGCAACTGTCAGTTGGTTACTCGGCTGATGGCAGCACTTGCATCCTGTCATTCGATCAGGATGAGGAACAGATTGTGTCTGCAGGTGGTATTGAAGAACCGTCTGTGCAGCTGATATCCATCAATGACACAGAGGAGACCTTCAGCGCTCATATCATTCCAATTGAAGAGGAAGAGGAGGATGATGATGTACAGTTCATTCAAGAAAGTCAGCAGGAGCCAACGCTGAACACTGCAGGCGGGCCCGGCCACAACAAGCAGCAAACATTACCTGCCAAACACTGTGAAAACAGCACAGCTCTGGATGAAGATTCACATGACTTTAATATGCTTAATGTAGAATCCCCCAGAGATCTAAACAAAGGCAAATACACTTGTCAGGTATGTGGCAGGACATTCTTCCACAAGGGCACTCTAACACACCACATGAAGTCACACAAGTCAAACTTCTGCAGCATTTGTAAGCAGCATTTCCCTCACAGGAACAAGTTGAATTTGCACACCTGTGTGCCTCCAGTCCCTTCTCAGAGAGTCAGTAAGTCGTGTGAGCTGTGCGGGAAGACCTTTGCAAACCCATCGGCTCTGAGGATTCACTACGTTGTCCACACAGGAGAGAAACCTTACAGGTGCAGCTTATGTGGGAAAGGGTTCACCCAGAAAGGCAACCTGAAATGTCACCTGCGCATCCACACTGGAGAGAAACCGTTCTGCTGTGTTAAATGTGGGAAGACCTTCACGCAAAAGGTCAACCTCAACCATCATTTAATGGCGCACAGAAATCGTGAGGTTGTGGGATGAGATGGGATAAAAACTCAGTGGCTGAAACCTGTCAGTGACGGATGGTGGTGCAAGATCAGTGTTATCTGAATGCATCATGTACTACTACTCACATAGTGTAAGGGCAGTTGATGTCATGTTTGGAATGACTTGTAGTCTGTAGTTTAGTAATTTGTTTTTATTTAAGTAATTAGCACTTCAGTGTTTGTTGTTTTGTCTTTTCTATAAAACACAGTCATGAATGTTCACTTGTTGAATAAAATTTTATTTAATACATTTGATAGAACCCTCCTTCAATTGTATCAGTTACATTTTGTCTAATCTAAAGTCAAGTTGCCTTGAACTTGAGGAATCAGTTTTATCACACATCTGATGGGGTTTTGTAAAAAGCATGCAGGTGTGAGTGAACGGGGGGGGATCCAATACCACAAGATTTCAGTCTTGAGAAGGGACAATTCTCTCAGTGTGAGCCATTCAGGGGAATCATTACAGGCAAAACAGGTGCTTAATACAGATAATTTCTCTGTTGAGGTGTGATGACAGTTAAGTATAGAATAACAAATGATTTTCTTTAAAACAAATTGTAAACATTTAGGAAAAAAAAAGTTTGGCTTGTCTGCACACAACTTGTCTTCTGTAACCAGCCATACAAATACATTTTGGAACAGTATTAGACCTGAACAATTCCTGAAACAAATTTGAAAGAAGAGCTTTGAAAGAGAGAGGCCTACATACGTTGTGTAGTTAAATGGTAAATGAGGCATGGCAGCAGTCGTGAGATTTCGGCACCGACAGAGCTAGTTGTTTTAATTCTGTATTGTTGTGAAGAGGTAGTTTTGAAGGTTTCTGCTACATGTGCAAACAATGGAGCACTTGTCCAAAGTAATTATTTTGCCATTATTTGTGGTCTGAAATGTCACTGAGGTATGTATATCATGCAATGAATGAAATATTTTTTTTGTCATAGTTTGGATGAACACCTCACATTAAATGTTAAGCAGCAAATGTGTGTCACATGATCTATGTTATGATGTGAAATTGACCTTAAAAAAAAAGGTACAATGTGTAAGATATGGCCAGAATTTTAGTTTAATACATTCAATCTCGAGCTAATATGGCAAGAATCACACTGATAATCTATATACACAATATAAATGATATGATTCTGATCAATGTTTAAGTTATGCATCCCATGCTTTCCAACCCTTTTGACTTCTCTGTCCCTCTCCACTCTGTCCTCATGAAGTTTCAATTCCCCTGATTTTTTCCTCCACATGATGAAATGTTGCCATCTGGCCATCCACCAGAACTATTAGAAATAGTATCACTGCAATTTGTTTGGGGCATGTGGCCAGGAATTATACATTGTACCTTTTAAAGGCTTGTTAAGAGTATCAAACATCTCAATAAACCCCCTAACCAATCAAATAAACATAATCCCACCAATTCAAATGGTACACCAGAAAGGACAGTTATTCTTTGTAATCTTTTTTGGCTGCTGCAACATTTCTCTTAGCAATAAAGCTAAAAACACATCAAATAAGCTAAGACTTTACAGCAGAGCTGTTAACCACGTAGGCTATAAAATTAGCTTTTCTTTTATCTAGGCTGGAATAGTTCAAATCTACATTTTTCATCCACGTTTTAGTTTCGTATAGACATTTTGGCACACGTTGAGCCACTTTGAGCAACAAAGAGAGCACTTTAGTAGAAGAAGTGACAGTTCTGATCAGAGTTAGACTTCTAACCAATAACCATGTGGTTTGACCAGTCAATTGAAACACTGGTGGTGATTCAAACCATACTTGTATGCGTAACATTTCCCACAATCCACACAGCTATAAGGCTTTTCCCCGGTGTGTGTTCGAAGATGTATGTTCAAAGAGCTTTTCTGGGAAAAGCTTTTGCCGCAGTCTGGACAGCTGTAAGGCTTCTCCCCCGAGTGCACGCGCTGGTGCAGTTTCAGGTATGTTTTCTGTGCAAACCGCTTCCCGCAAACTGAGCAGCTGAAGGGCTTCTCACCGGAGTGCCGCCTGATGTGGACTTTTAAACTGCTCAAATAGTTGAATGTTTTCCCACAGAATAAACACTGAAACTGTTTTAGTGGCTTCACAGGTTTTTGCTGAAGGGTGAGTTCTTTGGTTGTGTTCATGTGGATATTGTTCGTATAGTCAGAGTATTCAGCAGTGGCTGATGGAGGATTTGTGTTGTCAACTAGAGTGCTCATTGTTGCATCATCTATTAACTTGTCCATAATTGTAGGCTGTGGTGTGCGTTGTTGTGTTTGACCGTCAGCCGTCATGGAGAAGTTGCTTAATTCCCCTGAGTGAAGCTGCAGATCATCAACAGATCTATGAAGCATGCTGTCCTCCTCAAAAATTCCAGCAACTGTTAAATGAGAATAAATGCAGTTAAATCACAGAATCAGCATTAAAGTTATTTGGGGATTTTTTATCCAAACTTACCTTTTCTGTTATCGGTGAGCCTCATCTGCAGGCCAATGGGATGATCATCATATGCCTCCTCCTTTACAAAGATGAGATCAGGGTCTCTCTCCATTAAATCTATTGCCTAACAACAAGACATGTGACAAAGACGTTTGAACACAGCTATCATTCATTCATCTCTGAGGAAATGATTATATTGGAAAAAAACTAAACCAGCTGGTAAATGAGTCACTGACCGGTGTTCCCATGCTTGTCATAGCAGCCGGCTCCACTGTCTCTTTTCTTTGAGGGGGGATTTTATCTTCTCTCCACAGATCCATGCACCAGTCCTTTCCAAAAACCCCGTCGATGGCTGGAGCAAGCTGGTGCTGTTCTGGAAGAAGAAGCAGATATGAAATTGCGACCTATTGTAGATGTTAATCAAAGGGGAAATATACACCAAGATCAAACACAACTTTAAACCGCATTATTATTAGGTTTTTCATAAAGTTTGAATGTGAAGAGCTGATTATGTAGATGTGCACTTATGAACGTAACTGAGTTGAGATGGCTTTACACTAAAGCTAAGTAACGTTAGCCTGTTACAACACTGAAAAATATTAACCCCCCTGCGGTGTAGCAGCCTAGAAACGACTCTGTCCACATTTCTGACCGTCCCGACCTGCAAGGTGCCGGCGGCTGACATTGTTGACATGTGCAGAGTAGGACTGTGCCTCCCTGGCTGCTCTCAGCTGGACCTCCAGTGAGTAACACCTCTTCTTCAACACCTCATTCTCCGTCTTGTGCAGGGATATCTCGGTGTGAAGGACGGATGAGCATTCATCAGCTAGGCTGCCTATTTCAACCAAAGCCGTCTTCGTTAGCTTGTCCAGGATAGCGGCTAACTGCGACCGAAAACTTCTGCTTGCGGTGTCGCACATCATCTTGACGGGGAGGCTAATATTGCGAACTGTTGGCAAGATTCCCAGCGTAGCGACGTTTCTCCTTAATCAAATATGTGGTATCGCTGTGCCGCAAAGGATTGTGGGAACACGAAAGGGGCGACTCCTTCTTCTTCTTCCTCTCATAGATTTGCGGCAGACAACATGCCTAGCGGCCCCTTGCTTCCTCCCACAGGTATTAGGTGAGTAGGTTGAAAAATGAAGGGGGATTTTATCTTGCTCCCGAGAAGTGCAGGCTAATCTTGTCGCAACGATGAATTCAAGGACTGTTTTCACAATCCTCCAGTCATCATAATGCAGAAAATTTCCTTGCTCTTTGTCTCATCTAACGGTTGCACTCAATAGGAGTTGTAATATTTTGTATAGAGAAGTCATGTCAGCCTTTCTTTTCATTTCGTTTTCTGCCTCACATCTGTTATGTTCTTGATAACCTAATTGATTTATACTTACATGTCCCAATGAAAAACATTACTCTTACATCTTTATCTCTCTTTATCTTTTAGCTGCCGTGCATCATTCCCTTCCAAACCAACATGGGAGGCACCTTTTTATATACAGTCAATGAATGGCACCAAAGAAACCCCACTGAGTCCTTAGCCTGACCTATGAGTCTGACCCAATCCCTAACCTGACCCCTAGGCTAAGTGTCACCTATTTAATATATATGCCTATAAGTTCTGCTGAAAAGACTGAAACCCTCACAGACAGTTGTTTGAATAATTTCACTGGAACTTAAATAAACAGATTTTTCCAGTTTATTCTGATCTGTTTATATTTGAAGATAATGTCACCACTTGTTCTCAGCCCCCCCTTTAGCATATCCACGTAAGCAGTAGGCCTATTATCATGTTATCATCATGTGTTTCTGTAGTGGGCAAATCCACAGTGATATAATTGGCCAGTAAATCAAAGGGGCCACCCCTACGTCTCCATGCTCCAGCTTCACCTCTTTACTAATCTTGAAAATGAAACACCTTCTTTCCTGATCCCCTGCACTTTCAAAAACTAATTTTGCTCTACGCTCTCCTTGATGACCCCTTAGTTTATACTGCATTGCTATTCCACCATGGTACACTTATTTTCCTGTTAGGGTTTTGTTTTATAGGAATGCATTCATATGCATTGTGCAAGACCATTGCACATATGCTGTTATTTGATTCATCTGTACTTCTGTTCCCATTTACACTATCATGGTCTTTATCAGAGAATTGCTCCAAACTTGCTTTAATGTAATCAAAGTGTCTTTTTTGCTCTTTTGATAACATGGTTTCCCCAAATCTCAACAGTATTGGAGTGATCACTGCCCATTGTGTTCTCATCCATGAAGACCCATTCTCCAGCCTGCAATCATCTACTAATCCATATCTATTAAATCCATTATGTGTGTGTGTGTAATAATAAATGGAGAAATAGGGAGGAACCAGTAGCTTGGGCAGCAGCGTAAAATGACAATGTAGTTTCTTTTTTCTTTCTTTCTTTTTTTACTGTATTACATTATATATTTCTTGTAATGTTACTTTTTGTACTATTTACATCCCTGTATACACCTCTGACCAAATTAATTTACTGAAAAATAAAGTTGTTTTGATTATGTCTATCTATATTTGTCTATATTTCTATCTTTCTGTAAATTGTTCTGTGTGTTAGTACACTGCAAGCATCTTAAAACCGGAGCCACATTTCTTGTATGTGTAGGCCTACACATAGTAGTAGTCACCTATACCCAAATGACTGGTGTCCCTATGTGTTCCATAACCTCCTCCAAATCCCTAATGCTAATTTTCAAGATGGGATTATAGAAATTCACAATGTTTACCCATCTGTGCTTCTCCCATACCCTTACAACCACACACTGTAACGGATACTTAAGTTTAAACCTCTCGTACTGCAAATCAGATCTCTTCCTGCTTTCTCATGTTTATCTTTGAATACAGCCACACACATTTTAAATTCCTACTCATTTGCAACCAAAGTCTTCGTATTCCATTGCAAGATATAAAATATCAGCAGCTTAATAATAATCTTCATTTATTTCCACGTGGCCCTCTTCAGTGTAATACTCACCCTTCTCTTACTCTCCGCTTTCATGCATTTCCAGCTTCTGCCTTGTGTACCTGTGCAGCAAGAAATCTTTCAACAGCATCTACCATAGTTTTAATTGCTGACTGACCTTGAAAGTATCTTGTTTCCTTAACCATAGGCAGGGAGCACTAGCTCTGGCCTGGTAGGTTCCACTAATCCCCTCACTTTTCTCAAGACATACATACATAACACTTTCCTCTCAGCTCTCATATTTTCAAGTTCCACAGCCATTACATGATGTTGACAACCCCTGGAAGAAGCCATATAGTTTTTGCCACAGTTAAAGCACTTGATTTCCTCAGCATGACACGCCGTAAACTCACATTTTCATCTTCTAGCTCCTCCACACCCTGCTGCTGCATGCCCAAAAAGCAGACACTTGTAACGAAGCAGTAGAGGGCATATGTATTCTGTCGCAGATTTGTTGGTTATGTTCCTTTTTTTGAATGTTAGCAATACAACTGTGGCCAGAGTCTCTAAACCTACCAGACTCAATCTCAGTTCTCTATAATTCTTCACAGTGGCACTTTCAGTTATCTCAGGACTAATGTATATTACTTCTGTAACATTTTGAGCTGCATTCAACAGGTGTGTTAAGCAGATGGCAAACTTTCATGGTCTTCGTTCAATCGTTCGTCCCATTTATCATTTAGATCTACAGGCAGCTTGGGGCTTTGTCATACATATCCCTTGATATGTATCAAAAAGGGTATTTATTGTCATTTTAGTACAATTGCTAATTTTATATTTAATAATATTAGACACGTTATTGATGCAGCAATTAGTTAATTGCCTTTGTGAAGGTGCAGTAGGTAGAATATTACACACCAGTATCTCTTTTGATTTTAAAAAGGTTTAAAGTGTTAGTATGTTATTGTGTCCACCTTGATGCTAGATGTTGACCTGAGAGTATTTTTCAAACGTGACTGTTCACTGCCCTCCAGTGGTCAGAGGGAGGGATTGCATCACAACATTCAGTTTGTTAATCTCAGCATAACTATTATTAATATCAATATGGTAAACATTTGACTTGTATATAAACATTTTATGTTGTTGGTCATTGTTGTTTTTCATATATTTGTACATACCAGCTGTATGTTTATTTTGACTTGTCTTTGCTCAGCTTTGTTACTGATTATCAAGTTTGGACACTTTGTAAGGGGATTGGTTAAAACTTAAGATATATGAAAGGTAAGTAGCAGATCACATCGGAACATTTGGATAGTATAAGCGAGTCATACACTCAAATCTGGAGCAAAGATAACTTTATTATGCACAAAAATATTCCAATCAAACAGCAGAAGAAATTACATTTGACTGGCTGCTTTAAGAGGTTTAAGTGGTTCCGTTTATGAACGTCCCGCTAAACGTCGGTGCATTAGATTCACTACAATACATGTTCAAACTAGGATCCAGATGTACTGCGAGGTGTTTTTTCAGATTACAGTTCTTTGTAAAACCCTTGCCACATTTGATACAAACAAAAGGTTTTTCTCCGGTGTGTGTGCGCTGATGCATATCGAGAGTGCATTTCTGGATAAAGCCCTTTCCACAAATAGGACAGCGGTATGGCTTCTCCCCTGTGTGTGTGCGCTGGTGTGTATACAGATGCCCTTTCTGTGCGTATCTCTTTCCACACAGTGTGCACCTGAACGGCTTTTCTCCTGTGTGGCTCCTCTGGTGTATTTCAAGCTGGCTAAAGCATCTGAAACTCTTGCCGCACTGCAAGCAGCCGAACCTCTTAGCAGCAGAGTTCCTCAAGTTGTGAAGCTTCATATTTCTCAACACACTTGAGCTTTGGGAAGCAACATTTTGAGCAAGGCTTTTCCCAGCCTCTAGGTTTGTGTGTGCAGGTGTAACCGGTGGATTCCACTGTGTTTCCCTCCTCCCTGGTCCAGTGAGAGTTGACTGGATGTTTAGGGTCACAAAGCTGTCAGTAAACAGAGGCTGCTGACAGGCTGCAACAGGTTTGGGACGCTGCATCACTTCTGTACTCCTCTGGGTGTCTTTGACCGCTTCCCTTCCTGTTGACAGCATTTGGGCATGTTACAATGTGGAACATTTTTGACCTTGATGACCCTGACTCAAGGTCCAACGTACGATACAATAATGTATTGTCCTCAGTCAGAATTCGTTCATACATTTAAACACTGCTGTGTAACCAAGATTTCTTTTAATACTCACTGTTTTCACTTGTCCTATCTAGATGAGTGTCTCCATTGTCAAACTCTGATGGCTCTTCCTTTACCAATATCAGTTGAGGCTGCTCTTTCTGTGGAATTGGGAGCTAATAGGAGAACAGTTTATGCATTTTACTTGTTACAAATAAAAAACAGTACAATATACGTACTGACATATGATTGGAGCAGGACTCACTTCAGCTGCAGCATGCTCTTCGCCTTGATGCAAACTGTTCCTCTCAGTGGACGAAGTTATGCATTCCCATGGGCTCTCACTAGGATGCAATACACTTAGATATAAATACACCGGGCAGGTTGTAGCTGACAGCAAAGGTCATGATGGAGATGTAATTATGGTGCCAGCACAACACAGACACACTGTATACCTACAGGGTACGGACAGGAATAAACAAGCCTACCTTTTTATGGCAGGTCTTGTCCTGTCATGCTCAAATACTCCGTCCTCTGAACCGTCCATCACCAGTGAGCTTGCTGCTGCTGCCGCTGCGTCCTGCCTGCCCCCCTGTGCAATATAAAGCAATTTCTCCATCAACTGCAGTTTCTCTGTGAGCGAGGCGATTTCGTTACGCCCTCGAGTTATCTCTATTTTCAGCATCTTCGACTCGATCTCGACGAGTTTGCTTATTTCCATTACAGCTGTTTTGGATAACGCGTCCATAATGGAGACGAGCTGTGTCTGGAAAGAGAAGACCGTCGACATGGTTTTAAGGTTCCTGGATGCACGCGGGCTAGTTGTTTCAGTCGAGAGGTCTTACTGTTCACTGTAAAAATGTAGTTACAGCCTAATACACGAGAAGAGCTCTGTGTGCATGCTCACATGATACGCGTGAGTGTCTCTTTACAACTCAAGTGGTTTAATTTGACACAGTGTCGCCGTCTGCCGGCTGGGAGGAAGTATTACAGTCCCACTCAAAACTACAATATTGGTCTGTAATATTGACACACAGCTTCCCTCTATTGACTACAGTGTCTGCAGATATTGTATGAAGATGCCCCATATATTCTGATGTGTTAATTGTCTGTTAATTGTCCTTATAAGCTTACTTTTTACGTCCTTGCAACCACTCCGTCGTGGACTCCACTGACCAGAATGCAGCGCGGTCTAAACACAGACTGTGATTGGATGGTGGGAATGCGTTTCAGGAAGTAGTGCGTCGAATTACATTTGCCGACTGAAAATCCTTCTCATGACAACCTGCATCTGAGATACTGAGTGGGTAAAGCAAACTTCCTTTCGGAAAGCTGTTGGGTTGAAAGCCATAGCGTCTACGGTTAGAGCACAAATATTAGTAACGTTAGTAAAGCATTTAAAAGTAGGGCTGTAACATACACACATTTTATATGGAGAGTAACGTTATTTACAGACGCATCATGATGACTTGCAAAACGGTGTTGTAATTGACTTCCTTATATATTGCTCAAAACCATTTTGTTTTCTTTCTTTTCTTCCCAGTTAAATCCTTTATTCAGACAGCTCTCTCATGGCCGGCAGAAGAGTCGTGGCCTTCCCCTCCTCAGCGGAGCTTGCTCCGGTGTTGGCCCATCTGGTGACATCTCGGGCTGAGAAGGCCATCACCTCCCATGACAGGTTCACCCTGGGGCTCTCCGGAGGAAGCCTTGTGTCCATGCTCAGCAAAGAGCTGCTCGCCCTGCCAGACCTGGACTGCAGCAAGTGGGTGGTTGGTTTCTGTGATGAGCGATTGGTTTCCTTTGATGATCCTGAGAGCACCTATGGGCTGTACAAGGTATCTGCTCAGTGTGTCATGGTTACATTAATATATGGTATTCTGTTACATTGGGGGACAAATGTAACCTTTTGTTTCTTCTCCAGAGTCAGCTGTTTTCTAAGGTCAACATCCCGGACAGTGGGATCTTAACCATTGACTCCTCTCTGCCAGTCAACGAGTGTGCTGAGGACTATACACGCAAACTGAAAGCGGTGCAAGATCTTTTACTGTTCTCTTATCTGATCTTGTTGTTAAATTGGCATTTTCTTTTGAGATTTTTTACATTTTGCAAAATATTGACAGGATATTTTTGCTCTTTTCAAACCCACAGGCCTTCCAAGGTGATGACTTCCCTGTGTTTGACCTGTTACTGTTGGGTATGGGGCCTGATGGACATACCTGTTCCCTCTTCCCAGACCACCCTCTTCTGGAGGTGAGGGCCGTACTAATTTAACCTGACATATAGGCAAAAATATGGACTTTCTTATTCCGTGTTCCGGTTGCGTGGTGAATTCTTATGAAAAAATGAGTGTCGTGGAAATTATATCTTGCTGGTGAGGGATTAAGCAAATAATTGAGTAACATCCAACCGTTGTCTTTGAAGAATTTATTAATAAACACATATACAGCTGGTCCAAAGACCTGCCACCTAGGGCAGCTTCGGGCGTCTGGCCCTGAGCAAAGGGATGCATAATCATTTACACAGTCTAGGTTTCTATGTTTTGGGGACCAGAGATCCTCTCTCAGCCTTGAATGAACATTCAAGAAGAGGAGAGGAACAACAAGAGGGGAAAACACCAAAACAATCTCACAGCTCTGACCAAAACCTTAGTAAATGTGGACGGACTAAGATAAGGAGTATAGAAGAAGGAAAGGTTAAGGATAAAAACATAATATATATATATCTATAAGACATAACAATAATAGTAAAAGAACATGCATAAAAGATTAAATGTAAGCGGACACAATTTTCTGCCATTACAATTAGGAGTGCAGAAAGATGTCCCCACTCTGATTCTCCTCCATCCACAGCATATATTTGTCACCTGTCATTTAATTGCAAGTTTCTGGGCATTGTGCTAATGTTTCTATAAATATTACCTCTCAGTTATTAAAATATGGATATTTTTTTCCTGCAGTAGGCATTTGAAGCATGTTATTTTATTTTATTCTGGCAGGCCTGCTAATTAAGGTCTTGAGGCATGTTGGGGTTAACTCTTTGATGTAGCTCCTGATTTGCTAGTCTAAAAGAACGTGTGTTATGTACTTTTCGAGTCCCTTGACTGTATATGGATCAGTGACATGTTTTGATTTATGCACATGCTTTGCTGCACATCTGTGAAGAAAATCTGGCTCATGTTACATCATGTATTTGACACTTACTGTATACCCTTGGGTTTGGTTGTCACTTTTAGGCGACTCTATGCATTACATGATAGATGACTGGGTTTGGGTGTACTCCATATTTAGGAAACCAAGAAAATTGTGGCCCCCATCAGTGACTCTCCCAAACCACCGCCACAGCGTGTAACTATGACTCTTCCAGTAGTGAATTCTGCGCGCTGTGTGGCTTTTGTGTCAACAGGAGGAAGCAAAGCACCCGTTTTGAAGGTAACATTTGGAGGCTTTTTTTGAACATATACATTTAAAATTCAAAATCTTAAATCCCTGCTATTTTCATGACACAATAAATCAGCTTAGGTCCAGACACAAAGCCAATTAAATATGAGACAGAGATAAAATAGAACAGTGCAGAGAAAATGTCCATACCAGGCTCTGTGTTATGTAACATTGCCGATTTATTGTAACAGTGACAATTTTCATGCAGGAGGTGCTGGAGGGTAGAGAGGGTCCAGCTTTCCCAGCGGCCCGCGTTGTGCCGACTAACGGCGAGCTGTTCTGGCTTGTTGATGACCCCGCAGCTGCTTCCTTAACGATCCAGGTAGAGCGGCTAGGCTCAGGGGCGAAACTGTAGAGTGCTCCATCTGCCGAATAAAGGCAGGAAATCAACACTCATGTGAAAACCTGAATGGAGAGAGTGGAAAATAGTGCAGCGCATTCCTACTTTCACATGATGTTGTTGGTTTATGTAAGCAAGATAATGAAATAAGGATGAACAAAAATCACTGAGGACAACTTTGTCATTTCCAGCATTGCATTTAGCACTTATTGGATGTTGGTGTGTGTGTGTGTGTGTGTGTGTTTGTGTGTGTCAGAGGTGTAGCTTTATTCAAATGAAGATTGTCTAAAATACTTCCTTGGCTATAAAGTTGAGGAAATTGGATTTATAAAACATTTATTAGGCCTATTAAACTGATGAAGTCACCTTGTCAGTATTGTGTATAATGTTATGTTCTTTCTGGTCATCAGCTCTGAGCTTGACTTTGTAAAATATTAAATCCAGACACACACGGACAGTTATCAGCATTCCTTAAGTAATAACACTGATTTTCATTAGAAATAAAAATTAAAACATGTTAATTAAACGCTTGAGATTTGTGTTTACTGTGTATTCTTGTGTTATATGTACTAGCCCATCCCCTTTAAGATCTCGGCACACCCCACCCCTTTAAATCACAACTTCGCAGTGTTGTCACATCAGGAGCTCCTCCACAGATTAAATGCTTTTCTGTGATGATGACCGCGTAAAGTGAGGAGACAAAGCTTACATAGCAGTCTCTCATCGGGAGCCACAACCACCGCCCACATTAGTTTTCTTATATTCCTTCAGTATTGCAATGCACGGGCTCGCCTGCCTCCCCGCCGCCCCGCTCCTCTTACTCCTGTCCTGCTGCTGTCCTGCCCGGGGATATTTTGCGGAGGAGCGCTGGAGCCCCGAGTCTCCGCTCCTCGCTCCCCGGGTCTTGGTCGCCCTCATATGCAGAAACTCCGAGCACTCTTTGCCGTATTTCCTCGGTACTATTGAGCGCCTCAACTATCCCAAGGACCGAATGGCGCTGTGGTAAGTTGTTACCAGAGTATGATAGTTTTCTCGCAAGCTAGTGAGCAGCTAATAAGCAAAGTGAACCTCCACGCTGCTAGCTAAAATTAAAAGTATGTTTTGGCTAAGGTTTCTTCTTAAAATTACTATTTGCATAAAACCATTACGGATTGCACGGCTGAGTTTGGGGAAGTGTATAGGGTGGCGGGGGGGAGGGGGTAAATATAACAGTTTAGCTAAGTTGGGTTGCAGGCGATACAATCCGAGTTAAAATGTCGCATACATCTTAAAAAGCAGTAAAACAACGCCGAGCTCAGACCTCAAATAATGCACTTTAAGCAACCTCAGGTAGCTGCTGTTTGTCAGACAGATGTCCGCACATCTGCCCGCTGGGCCAATCACAGTGACTATGCATTGATCTGCATACGTGGAGGGGAGGGTACGAAATTGATTTGGCCACGAGGGGAGCTGTATGATTTAAAAACTTAACAAAGAAAATACTGTTGTGTCTGTCCACTCTCCATTAATACACACACACATACCTTCAGGGCACTTGTAACTAGTGATGTGATTGATTCTTTAATCCCAGGGAACCCAATCTGTGATGTTGTTGGCGTTACAATCTGTGAAACCTTTGTAAATTATTTAGCAAAAAAAAGATATTAGTATTAGTATTAGTATTCTCTCCCATCACTAGCCTTTAGCAAAGAAGAGACCACCATTTCATTTAGTTGTAGTCCTTTTAAGGATCTTTTTGTGTAATTCATGTTCATTCTTTCACAGAGGTGTGTGGAGGAAAGCATGACATGCTTTGTTCAAGGACAGGGCAGCCTTGAATATTCTCTCTGCATGCTTAGTGATTATGGAAACTAAATCCTAGTTGTATGCAGTATCATGGCTCACTAAACACACATTTCTGTAGGCCATTTTTCAGACCTAACACAGTTGCGCCATGCCACTCATTTGTGACCAAATTATCTATCTAAGGCAATTATCCTGTGGGAAGAGCAAATGGGTGTAATACACCATTTAAACATCGGTCTGCCATACTCAGGCAAAAGTGGAGGGGAGTGAAAGGGAGGTGTTTTCTCACATAATAACTTAAAAACATGCTCTAACAGCCCCACATGTTTATACCCTCAGAGCTCTAAGCAGTTTGCACGACTGCCTGGAGGGCTTAGAAGTATGCTCTTCACTTCAAGTTTCAGTTCATTTAGGGGCTCATGAGTGAACTTGTTTGATTTCTCCTTTTCTGTTTGGTGGTCATTAAACACTGCTATAAATGTGTTTGAGGTAAGTACAGTTTTGTTTTGAGATGTTCTGCAAACACATTAAGCTACATATGTAAAGTGCAAAAAGCTGTGTGACACACACTACATGCCATATGCTTTTTGCTGAAGTTTTCTGCAGCTGCTTGTGAGCATGCCAAAGCTTCAGAATCAGAATTGGTCTAACTGACATTTAAATCTTTGGCATCTGCAATTAGCCCCGCATTTCTCGCTAAACTGGAGCAACAGTAGACCAGATGCAAGTGAAGCAGCACTTTGTAGACAGTAGTAGAGCACCAGAACTACGTGCTTCAAAACTATGCTTTGAACAAATATTTATTTGAGCTGAACATGAGGCGGAAGAATCTTAAGTTTGAGAATTTGGAAGGATGGACAGCAGGAGTGAGGGAAGAAATGGTGAAGCATGGAGCTGTGGCGTTCTCACAGATCCATGTCAAATCTGTCGAAACAACCCAACTTGGCTGTCGTCCTGCTGAGCAAAGTACAAACAGAACTGACTTTAGTGCAGCAGAGGCTGTTGACCTACAATATGTATGGCTAAAGAAAGGGAGGCTGTGGATGTTGTGGCATGTTTGTTGATGAAGAGATTCAGGCAGATATAATGACCCTTAAGATTAAAGTGACTTGATTGCATGCAAGCTTGTGATGCTCATTTGTCTCCTCACATGGCTTCAGCCGGTTCCAATCATTTCCTTCTGTTCTAAGCTATTGTAGACAAATGTTTCACTTTTTTTTCCCCACTGTTTTCGGGTATGGTTTTCCTTTTACTTCTTTAACAAAGTGTGAAATGCTACCCTAAATTATACAAACTAGATGAAAAGTGTGTTTGTTTTGTGATGTTGGTATCATTAACACAGTTCTCACAGTTGCAGACAATGAGCTTACAAAAAGTGAAGAATGGGCCATTGTTATTTGGGGTGGTATCGTCTTTCAACTCTTAAATCCAGTTTGGCACTAGTGCTACATTCAACCGTTGTTGCTGTTTTCCATGTATTGGCCTCAGTTATTGATACTGTTCAACCTGTCTGATGCTGAATACAGTTCAATCTAATCATTTAGATTTGTTGCATATTAACAGGGTAGCGACTGATCATAACCAGGACAACACTACAGCCATTCTGCGTGACTGGCTTGTGAAGGTCCAGAACCTTTACCATTATGTAGAGTGGAGGCCAAAAGAGGAACCCAGGTTGGTTTCTTCTAGAGTTTCTGGTGACATTTTGTGTTGCTTAAAGGGCTCACAGAGCCGGTAAAATCAGTCTGATTAGTATCCAAATTTCTCTTGTAGACGTTATGGGGATGAAGATGGTCCGAAGCACTGGACAGACCTTCGTTATGAGCATGTTATGAAGCTTCGGCAAGTAGCACTGGAGTCTGCTCGTGAGATGTGGGCAGACTACTTTATGGTAAGTCAACAAAACTACTCAAATGAAAGCACGATAACACTGAACATTTTACCATTTTAAGCATTGAGCCGGTGCTTCTACTCAGACTCTCTTTGTTGTTCAATAATAGCAGCAGCTGGATAAGTACAGTACAGAGTAAAGTCCAAAGCACCACCATAGTTGTAATTTAAGCACCAAGAAGGGTTTTGGAAATTGACCCAGTTATATTTTTCTTCTCTTATGGTTAAAGTTTATCTGGTCCGGTTCATCTGGATCCAAACCGTTTTTTAAAATGCAGCACTGTGCGCATTTCTATTTGTATTCCCTAGTCCAGCCCACATTGTCTAGCTTCAGCGGGGTATAATTTTGAAGGAAAGTACATCCAATGCAATAATTTTGTGCTACAAATTTTCAGAAACAGTCTTTGCCTTCTCCCTTCAAAACAGAATTAAAATAAAAAGTCAGTGGTTTTTTTTTTACTATCTCCGTTTTAGTGCCCTATTTAATCTTCATGACATGTTAAGTATTTCTTTATAAGATGCCTGAATCACTTCATGGTGTAACATACATAGACTTATATTCTACAGTTTACCTTCTCCTCCTTGTGCAGTTGGTGGACTGTGATAACCTCCTCACCAATCCCAATATGCTCTGGAAGCTCATGAAAGAGAACAAGACCATCATTGCCCCAATGCTTGAATCCCGTGCAGCCTATTCAAACTTCTGGTGTGGAATGACCTCCCAGGTACTGTGTGAATGATGTACATAGTGGTGTATGTTGAGTGTTTTAACTTAACTCCACTGTTGATCAACTCTGCTTCTTCAGGGTTACTATAAGCGCACCCCTGCCTACATACCCATGAGGAAGCAGGTGCGGAAGGGCTGTTTTGCAGTTCCCATGGTCCACTCCACCTTCCTGATAGACCTCAGGAAAGAGGCATCCAGGCAGCTGGCCTTTCACCCGCCGCACCCAGAATACAGCTGGGCCTTTGATGATATCATTGTGTTTGCCTTCTCTGCTCGGATGGCAGGTATTTTAATTCACTGCATATATCCAAAGATGTTACACATTTGGACCTTTTTGACCTAAATGCTGTAACTTCAGATTGAGGAAATATTTGCATCCTTTTATCTTCACAGATGTTCAAATGTTTGTGTGTAATAAAGAGAGCTATGGTTACTTCCCTGTGCCACTGCGATCCCATAATACTTTGCAAGACGAAGCTGAGAGCTTCTTGCACTCCCTGCTGGAGGTTAACGGTGAGTTGCTTGTGCTCAGACTGAGGGCTTTACTTTTGCATCCAACTCTCTTTATTTTCTCTGGCTTTCAGTCTGTGTTCTACTTTCCGCTACTTTATCTAATGACAACTATCAGCATGGGTTTCTATATATCATTTATACCATTTCTGCATCCATCTTCCCTCTCACTGTGTAGTGCGAAATCCCCCAGTGATGCCTTCCAAATACATACCTGTGCCTAGAAAACAACCTGACAAACTAGGCTTTGATGAGGTGAGTAAGGAGTGATGTGAAGATGGAGTCTGCAAAAATGGCCCTCTATCTACTTCTGTGCTAAATGTCTCCCCCTGCTGTTAGAAATCTGTAATTACATTGACTGGCTCCACTGTTATCCTTGTGCAGGTGTTCATGATAAACCTGCAGAGGCGGACTGACCGCCGAGAACGTATGCTCAGGGCATTATACGAGCAGGAGATAACATGTAAGGTCATTGCAGCTGTTGATGGAAAGTAAGTTAACTCTGTTTAATGAATACTTAACAGTTACTTAGTACTTGGTAATTACACTTTTCTGCCCTTTCTTATTACCATTTCGTCATGTTTGTTCTTCTCTCTCTATTTCAGAGCGATGAATGTCAGTGAAGTTCAGGCTATGGGCATCCACATGCTCCCTGGATACAGTGACCCCTATCATGGTCGCCCACTGACAAAGGGAGAGCTGGGATGCTTCCTGTCCCATTACAACATCTGGAAAGAGGTGAAACCTAGAGGCCAAGCGTTTAAACATTTGTAAACCAGATGCACGACTTATTTAAAAAAAATCTGTGTGTGTTCTTAGATTGTGGAGCGACGCCTGCACACCTCCCTGGTGATTGAAGACGACCTGCGCTTTGAGGTCTTCTTCAAACGTCGCTTGAAGAACTTGATGAGTGAGCTGGAGAAGGAGAGACTGGACTGGGATCTCATGTGAGTTTGTGCTTCCTTCACAATCTTTTATTTTACCTTGATTCTCCTCAGTTTCCAATTGCTCTCACTTCTCCTTTCTAATTCTTTCTTCCAGTTATATTGGTCGCAAGAGAATGCAAGTGGATCATCCAGAGAAAGCAGTGCCTAAAATACACAACTTAGTGGAAGCAGACTATTCATATTGGACACTAGGCTATATGATATCATTACAAGGTGCACAGAAGCTTTTGAAAGCCGAACCATTAAAGAGGATTTTGCCAGTGGATGAGTTTCTACCTATCATGTACAATAAACACCCTGTGTAAGTGTTTGTGCCCTTCCTAGAGCAAGTACACGCACATAACATGTACTTACTGTATTTTTTGTTTGTCTTGATTTTACCTTCTACTTCACAGGTCTGATTATATGGAACAGTTTGAAACCAGGGACCTGAAGGCGTTTTCAGCCGAGCCTCTTCTAGTGTATCCAACACACTACACGGGCGACAAAGGCTACATCAGCGACACTGAGACCTCCACAGTGTGGGACAATGACAAGATCCGTACAGACTGGGACAGAGCGCGCTCAGGAAAAACTGGGGAGCAGGCTGAGATCAGCACTGAGGCCCAGAACTCAGATGTGCTCCAGTCTCCATTGGACAGTACAGCACGGGACGAGCTATGAGAGCAACTGAGTGAGGGCCTTGGAAAATATTTGAGCTGCATAGCCTAGGACAGCCCCCCTTTAGTTAATTAATCATGTTTGTTCACGTTTGATACTTTTGATTTTACATCATAGATGTGACATCAAAGTAGAAAGATTTTATTTATCCAGATGTGACAAGTTAAAAAGGGATCAGTTGTGTCTTGTGTTGTCAGTTTGTAGTTTTTCTTTATAAACTAGACTTGCCATAAGCAATGGCATTTGCAGTACCCAACCTCTGTCTGTCATACAGAAATGAACCTGTAAATTAGCAAAGAATGTAATTGGATTGTTACATTTTAGACATTTGGGCAGTTAACTTTGTCTTAATTTGACATTACACTTTGGAATGCTTTTTTTTAATAAATATATCAAGACTATAGATTAATTTGGCTATAACCGCACTGTATGTCACTGAGCAAAATCAAGACTCGCAGACATTCATGTCTTTATTCAAAAAGTAATCCAATGGTCTCTGTTGTGAAAAGGAGAAACATTTGCATGTCTTTTGCTTTGATTTTTAGTATTTTCTCTTTTTAAACTTCACATTGCTCTTTTGAATAATCATTAGCTGACACTTCAGATGCTTTCAGCAGAGCTTTACCAAAGCAACAAAACATGCAAACAACAGTTGCAGTCAACTCAGAATCACAGATTTACAGTACTAGTGTAGAGTATATACCAGTGCAATTTGCTATTTCTGTGTCCCTTGATGACACTTTTGGGTTGTCAACCAGCTGTTGACGTGGTTATAAATGGAACAAACCACTGTACATGCCTTAAAGTTGATGGTTTGAGAGAAATATGGTTATAAGTTCATTCAAAAAACAATAATACAAAAACACCTAATAATTCTCAGTTAAATCTGAATTTTAGCATTCTGGGTGAGCAAGCCTTGATTAAAAAAGCCCAGTGCAAATGTAAATCATTATCTTAGTTTTTACAGATTATTTATTCTTTTCATGGTTTTGCCTCACATGGCTACACTAAATATCCCAGGAGGTTTTTGTAGGGTATAAATGGGAGCCATTCACCAATGGATCTTTGTTCAAATGTTAGGGGTGTGCCAACAAGAAATAAAATGTTTATTTTTAAAAAAGTTGAATTTGTGATTACTGTGATAGGATGCATATTGTCACAATGGTGTAATCAGTTTTCTCTGTTAATGGTGATTTTGCAAATTTAAGTCATGACAGTGTTCCACTGTAGCCAGTAACAAGATAAGATGCGAGGACCCCCTGCACTAGTGTTTTGTGTGGGATGCCTCTGTTACAGTCAGTGTTTTTTGAGACCTCATTTAATCCTCATGTACACTCAACTACATGTGGATCTCCCAAAACAGCAGTGAACCATTAACTGCATTTATACCTAATTCATTACTGTCACTGAGAAACACTGTAACAAAGAGAAGCTTGTAAAACTAAGCTTGCTGTCACTTGTGTTGTCTTGGTAACCTTCAAAGTGTTGTCAGTTTACCGACACCCTGTTTCAGCTGTCATCATGATGCCACATGTTAGTACAGCTCTGCTGTAACAATTAGTACTCAACTGTACTGTACGTGGGGTGCACAGCCCCATTAGACATTATTTGAAAGGGTCCTTGAATGATCAATGGGAGCTTAAGTTCACACCTAAATAAAATAGATAAAACAGATATCTATTTCCTAAGACAACACAATCTAAACACAGAGGCACCTACTCATTATGTGTGTTGTGATAGTGTAGGTGTGGCCTACAGTGACAGCAAGATACACTTCCTCTTCCCATTATGGTGAAAACATTGGCCAACCTCCACTCTACCAGAGAAAGATCCTTTTGAGAGCACTAACTTAGCTTTAGAGCTGCACGCTGACAATTCAGCTTCAGTGTGTGTACACACGGCAGTGCAGATTTCCTGCCCGCTCAACTGTACTGTCCTTTACTGTGTATTGTAGTGTGACCTCAAGGGCAGATAATGTGCGAGTGTTAGTAGGAAGGGTCTTGCTTCTGTGTTTATAGTATAGAAATGGAAGAAGATCAAGCGCCAAACAAGGATTCCTCTCAAGCTACAGGTGAGCACAAAGAATGTGATATGAGATCATTTCGAGGAAGTGTCACTGTTGACTTCATATAAAGGATATGTTACCCATTGTTCTTATATGTACTTATATTATACATTCATGGTTAATTTATATCCAAAACCCTTTGCCATTGAGAAATACATTTCTTGACTCATTAAGAGTTTTTTAAATGGATGAATATCCCCATACAGTGTGAGAAATTTGCTGGCATCGCTGTAGTGCCATAATGGCATGGGTAATGCATTTTGGTGCGTGCATGTGCTGTATGGACAGTGTGCTTGGATATTCTTTGTGGTGCTGTGTGGCATCTTCCTAGTCAAAGCAAGATTGATTAACTTCCTGAACTCTGTCTTCGTTATTTTATACATTCATGTTATTTTTTTTGTGCAACTTTTTTTAAGTTACAGGATTTCCTGTCTGTAATCTTTAAAAAAAAAAGGAAGACGCTATGAATAGAATATTAAACTATTATTGAGACTGGTGTAACGGTTGGTTAAACTTCACATCTAACTAGACATTTTTGCACTATGCTACTTAGTTCCTATTAAGAAACTTTTCACAATGTGACTTAAACTCGTGAATGTAAAATTGTTTGCAGTAATTTTAGTTATTGCATGTATACAGCAAACAACAACAGTAAATGCTTTAGATTAACTGGAATTGACTGTAAAAGTGTGCTAAAACACACACTTTACTTGCCTCTCAATTGTCATTCTTACACTGAAACACTACTGGTGTGAAAAACAAGGACTCTGTTCATTATGGGACGTGAAACAAATTGTGAGCAGGATGTGGTTAACCAAAATGGAGATGTCTCAGAGAGAGAGAGAGAGAGAGAGAGAGGGAGCGCTTTTTCTCATTTGTTGCATCTGTTGTAAATCATCAGTTTCAAACCTTTTGGTATGGCCATGGTAAAGCATTAGTTAAAAAGTGGGAGCACAAAAGGTTGAGGGTTTGTTATCAAAATGCATCACCTTGTTCCTCATTTTGTTTTAGTTCACTTTTGGTCAAAGAACAATTTTTCCCATAAATGTAAAGGAAATGCTCTTAGATATGAATAACTTCATGATAGGAACTATTTATTTATTAATTGTCACAATAATTGATCTTTTTGTGTTTTTCTCTTGAAGTATACTGTTAAGTTGTACATTAGTCACTTGGCTGATGCCTTTGGTTGAGCAGCTACGAAGTGGTGCAGAAGTAAAATACTTTAACTTTCCACTAGGAAGCAGGTCAGAGCTGCATGGCTTACCATTCTAATCTACACATTTCAAGTTTACACATTGTCTATAGAAAGAGAACATTTGTTTTGTGTTGAGATAGTGTCAGCATGTATGTGTGGTCTGTTTTTGATGGTGAGGATCACATTTCAGAATCTTAAATCTACAATGGTGTTACAGTATGACGTAAATAGTAAGACCATCTTATTACTTTAAGCATTTTAGTTTTTCCATTTGTCATTTCAGATGTGAAGAAGGTTCATCAGAAGTCTGAAACCAAGCGTTACAGTGAGATCTTCAGAGACTTTGATAATCTTGATTTATCTTTAGTCTCTTGGTAAGTATTATGCATTCACACAAAGTGCTACCATGTGTTTCTTTTGTCTCCTGCATCACTCTGCTTGTTCACTTTAACGGAAGAACACAGTGGTTAGTGAGGTGTCATTCACTGCTGAGAGCTTGGCTGAAACCATGCAGGATGAAACTGTTCAGATATATTTGTCAGCTCGAAGCCACAATCCATTAACATGAAGTAGGACAGATTTGCATGATCTCTCAATAGAGCAAGTTCTTGGGGGCCCATCTGCCCAAATGCCACAGCATCTGAAGTGGCAGTGACACTAAACAAACGTAGCGGTGCAAACTCCGAGCCCTTATAGGTATTGCTGTTTGACTGTGAGTGTTTTTCTCTCAAAACATTCTTTCTGTGTTCAGTGCAGGGGAGGATCTGCTGGCAGACAGTGACTCACTGTCCATCTCAGAATCCATCTCTTCAGAAAGCACAGAACCCACAGAGCAGCATGATGTGTCTGTAAGGGATCAATACTTAGTCACTAGAATTCATTGTTATTTATGTTGGACCTTGGATTCTTTTGCAAAAATTATGATCTCACTGATACCAGAAACAGTATTGATGCGGTGGGGATATTTTTGTTTGTTTTTAGGAACCCACTAACAGAATATTGTTGGCTTGTTTTAGGGGGATTAATTCTTGACTGATTCTTTTATGAGTGAGAGTCTGATATGTGTTTTGTCCACAGAGACGCGCTGAGGCCAATGAAGTGGATGGAAACCAATCAGGTATGATTTGAGCAAGAGAGACAAGGAGGCCGGAAAAATACATTTTTGAGGTGTGTGTATTCTCTCCTGTGTGGGTCAGTGTATGTCTTGCTCATATAAACCGTGAGGCCCTGCACACAGGTAATTAATATAAGGCTTCTCTATACTGTATGTCACCACCAGTCTGTGAATCAGAGATTCTGTGGTGGTTGAGGTCTCTAGTTTAGTTACCTTAACATAGACCACACTGTGATTGATATCCAACATCCCAACAGATCATCTGCAATGATAAGCAGCTATATGTCTGTGACAAAGTATCTTCTTCAATCTTTACTTGTTTCATATTATTAAGCGTGAGTTATAATTGCCCTGTTGTAACAGGATTAGGATAAAGGATAAAGGATTAAAGCAGGAGACAGCTGCTCTCAGTTTTTACCTTACACACAAGCAGAAGATTGAGAGAGATCTACTGAAAAGGGAGGTGTCAGTGTTATGCAGGCTGTTGCAGCCAACTGATTATATAGCAAAGAAACTCTTGACTCTAGTATGACTTTAAATATCTTTTTAAGTCTTCTTTTGGCTTCAAGTCTAAACCTATCTGAGGTCACTGATGCTGTCAAACCAAAATCACTTCTGTCTGCACCAAGCACATTACTAGAACATGTTTATGGTGTTTAATAGCCCCCCCCACCCCCCCGCTCGGCCACACACAGCAGGAGGTAAACCTCACTCGATGCTCTTCTAAAGCCTGTCCCTCCACAATCTGGACCTGATTAGGATAATCCCTAATCCAAGTGCAGGAAGCCATTGTATGTGGCAGCACAGAATCTGCTTGGAGGCTGATGTCTGAAAGTGTTCTGAGCTCCCCTTGTAACAAACGCAGAGAGGAACGGCTGGGAGAGGTCAGCCTTGGCATACAATCTGGCCACAAATCCATCATTCTTCTGGAATTGCCTGTTCATTTTTGAAGACAGAAAAGGAAAGATCCTCCTGCTTGGATTTGTATACCTCTCTAACTGGATTTGGCATTTGTGCAAAAGAACAGATCAGAAGAAAATCTGCTTGTCTGAGTCAGGAACTTGTGAGAGAAGTCATTGAAAACATAGCTGAATACTTGGATCGTGAAATTTCTTGAAGTGCATCAGTGCTTTAACCTTTGGCTACAGGAGAAAATTAAGATCTGTTCTTCTAGATTTTGACATTTTGTTTTTGCAAATGTAATGTTGGAAGTGGAGCACAAAGAGAAAGAGGAAAAGAGAAAGTATTGTTGGGACTGTTTGAGAGACCACGTGATTGTCACGCATACATCATCCACCCTGTCTTGGTGTGAGTCACAGAGGAAGAACAAGAGTGGTTGTCATATCAACGCCCTGCCTGCCTGACCACAGCAGAACTGTGACATGGCGGTGTCTGATACTGCACACTCGCAATTTGTGTGTCAATGACCTTGCTTTCACAGCACAGCCTGTCTCTTTGTAGCTGATTGGAAGTGAACAGGTGTAAGAGGGAGGGGGCTTGCAGAGAGAGGAAGAGTGGAGAGAAGGGAAGTTATTTAGCTAAAGCTGTTCACAGAAACCCTCCTCTCTCAAGTCACATCCCCATTTGTGTCAACTGGAAGAGGACTGATTAAAGAGATTTTTGCCAAGCAGTAGTACACATACATTGTGCTTTCATGCAAAAGAAACATACAGTCTGCTGAGACCTACTCGAAAACACAGGACCTTTATTCTGATGAGCAGCTATGACTTGCCATATGCAGTC